AAAAGAACACCTCGGCTCTCTGTGGCCATTTCACAGGTCGAAGCCAGAGTGCTTGCTTCAGCGACTCAGAATGTCACTCAGTAGATGGTGCCATAAGCCATAATAATAAATCTCTACGCTGCAAACCGGGAGTGGTGGTGCACGCCTTTAATCCCAGCACTCAAGAGGCAAAGGCAGGCTAATCTCTGAGTTCGAGGCCAGCCTGCTCTACAGAGTGAGTTCCAGGACACCCAGGACTACAGAGAGAAATCCTGTCTTGGGGGAAAAAAGAAAAAACAAAACAAGAAACTATAATCATTATAAAAACCCTAATCATTACAGTACAATGTGTCACCAGGTTACACTTTCAGGATTGCGTCATGTTGGAAGAAGGTTAATCTTTCCGCCTAGGGGGAAAAAATGTAGATTCTAACTTAGGACTAAGAACTGTGTGTAAAGACTTAAGAAGCCGATAATTAGTTGAGCTCTTTGAAGTCACCTTAGACAACCCTCGCTGCTGGCTTCTTTCCAGCCCAACTTTGTTGGCATAACCTGAGAGGCCCAGCCTCCGCGCCACCTGTGCCTCCTGGCTTCCCGGCCATCCCTGTCTAGCTCTCTACCAGCCCTATGGCCACCCCTCTGACACCAGGTGAGCCTGCAAGGGTCAAAGAGCCAGTACCACTGGGATTCTCTCTGACCGATATTAACCCCCTTGAGACACAAACCTGCCGCTCTTTCATTATTCCCCTCAGCGCTGAAGCGAGTCTCGTGTACTTCCTGAAATGGCAATGCCCGTGGGGTCTGCGGTAGTGAGCAGCTCAACTAGCTCAATAGCACGCCCTTGCTCACCCCTCCCCCTCCGCCCTTGACTGCAGCCAGCCACTCCTGTTCCTGGAGGTTCCTTACGTATCTTTGAAGTGATGCCCTTGGTTGACTAGGTGAGTATCCTGTTTTGCTGTGATAGCGACTCGCAGAGCAGTCCTCTTCCCAGAGAGAGTGTTCTGTCACCCATTATCAGACTTCATGCTTTATCTGACTGCTCCCGGATTCCTACCACGGAGAATGCTCGAGATGCTGTACCCACGGGCGGGTCACCAGCACAAGGCCAGTCTGGGAGGCCTCACCCATAAGGACTCTGCTGTCTAGCTAGCAGGGCGTCCCTGTCCTCATGCCTTTCAGAATCTCTGGGGACTTGATCAAAACATCGCTCCTAAGAACTTCTAGAAAGATGTTCCACCCCGAGGGAACCACTTGACTCTCAAAACCGGGATCTAAATTAAACAGGTGTGGTTAATTAAATTAGGTGTGGTTAATGCACACTGTCTATGGAGTGTATTCCCTGTGAGATTTTCTTTCTCCCCATTATATATATTATCAATAAATATATTTATATAGTATAATTAATGTGCTAATTATATATTAATGTATATTAATTAATACATTAATAGTTATTATTGTTATTAATATATTTAATGTATTGTTGGTGCATTTACATGTCTTATAATATTTCTATATTATATATTATGCATGTAGTATATTATATAATATATATATATATAGGCAGATTTACCAGCACACTTGGCTTTTCTCCCACTTTTAAACATTGTGAAAAGCAAACGCCTCTGTATGCCAGTAAGCATTGCGAATAGTGGAAATGTTCTTTCGTCATCCCGTTAACCACACAAAGTAGATTCACTCCCCAAATTAAGCTCTTCGTATACATGTCCTCCTCTGTTTTCACTTTGGGGGGTTGGAGAGGGAACCCAGATGAAGCCAATGGTAGCTTCAAAGAGGCATTGCAGGCCATTCAGGCTCTTTCAACAGACTGTTCCCAACGCTGTTCATGAAGAACTGGTTAGTTGGGTTTGAGACTTTATGCCTCCGTTCCCAAATGCTCTCTCCTCGAGGGCGTCTTTAACAGGCAGGAAATGAGGAGTCGAGGAGAAATCCATTGCACTAGGTGAGAGTCAGACACAACCGAGCCCGGCCCCATCTCAAGCCATTCTCTCTGCAATTCTGTCTGCCAATTTGGGAACTGGAAAAAAAAGGCTTGGCTGTGTGTCTGAACAAATGAAGCAGAAACCCGTGGGAACCAGTCACTCTAAACAAGACACGTGCCAAGATTTCCTCTACAGCACGTTCTTCACAGCCCAGACCGAAGCCCTTCAGTACCTGTGCGTTTCACCTGAACCTCCAGAGGGCGCTGCTGCAAATAACCAGCCCAAGTTTGGGAGGGAAAGAATCCGTAGGGCTAGGGGCTGTGTGGTGCGTGGAGCTAAGTGACTCATCAGAAGTCCTGCTGTGGGTCTTCTGAAAGAGGGACAGTGAGAGCATAGTAGAACCAGCTTTCTGAAAGATTCGCAGAAACTGCAACACCTCTGTCCCCCTGCTGAATCAGATCCTCGTCGCCTCCTAGCTCACACTGTCTGATGCCAGCCCTGAGTTAATAGCTTCCATTCTCTGGACTCTGGCCCTGTGTGCCTCTGCTCCCTGCTGGTAGTGGCGGAGAGGGCAAGCATCTCCTTGGGGCAGATCAATCCCCGCCCTCAGCCACCTCCAAGTCCTAACAACCTGAGGGCGTGGTACTCTCCGATGGGATCCGAAGAGGCTAGAAAATCGTGGTGCCATCCGCTATCCCACAGACTTTCTATTTTGATGCAGTTGGGTTTCTCTTTTAAACTGGAGGGCTGGGGAGATGGCACCGAGGGGGGGGGGGGGGGGGGAGCCAAAGCCATGCAAACCTGATGATGGAGTTTAAACCCCCAACCCACATAAAAAGTCAAATGTGGTTGCACATCTGTAATCCCAGCACTTCAATATCAAGATGTAGGACAGAGGCAGGAGAATTTTCCGGAAGCTCGTGGGCCAGCCGGGCTGGAATATGATGCTCAGAAACAAACAGAACAGAGACCCTGCCTCAAGGTGGCAGGTGAGAACAGACTGCCAAAAGTTGACCTCTGACCTCCACACAAAAGTAGGCTATGTGAATGCCTGCACACACACACACACACACAGAGAGAGAGAGAGAGAGAGAGAGAGACTTTTAATAGAAAAACATTCTTTTGTTTTTTGTTTTTTTGTTTGCTTGTTTGTTTTTATTCGAGACAGGGTTTCTCTGTGTAGCCTTGACCGTCCTGGACTCACTTTGTAGACCAGGCTGGCCTTGAACTCACAGAGACCTGCCTGTCTCTGCCTCCCTGAGATTACAGGTGTGGACCACTGTTCCCGGCTAGAAAACAGACCCTTAATCTTATGAATTTTACAAGTAGCAAGGAGCTTGTTCTACAACTGGTAGTGAAGAAAAACGCCCGATAAACCTTTTTCTGAATCCAGTCGTGGGGCCCGGCAGGTGGTGTGTTGGGGAAAGACCTTGACTGTTGACCCTGCTGTGACTGTTACGCTGAAACCAGCAGGTCAAAGAGAACCGGAGGGGGCCTCCCATTCATTCTCTGCTTTGAACAGGCAAGTGAAGGCAAACTGTGTTTGGCTGGTGGGGGGAAAGGTGTGGAATCAGGCGAGGTCCAGGACTCACCCACCTCTTTCTGTCTCAGGTTTGGGTGTCTGGGCTTTTAAAAGAATTTCAGTTCTGGGAGTTAAGCCCAAGGCTTTGTGCACATAAGGCAAGTACTGGTCCACTGAGACCCAGCCCCAGCCCTTTCCTGCCTCCTGACTGGCATTCTGTAGAGGGGGCAGTGGCCGTGGATAGTCGCTAAATGTAAGCAAAGTTCTTTTGGAGTCGTTGGATTTTTTATTTTTTTTTTAGTTCTAATTTACTCTAGAGCCCCCACTGGCCTACAAACAGCATTCCTTCCCCCCCCCCCAGTCTCATGAGTGCTGGGATTACAGGTGTGTGCCATCATGCCAGGCTTTTATTGGAACTTTTGAAAAGGAATGAGTACAAGCAGATAACAAAGACAGTCATGTTTCTGAGCTGCTCCCATTGCGCCCCAAACAACAGCACACTGCAAAATTCCTTCATCTTACAGACACTGAGCTCTTCTGCCCTCAGAATTATGCTGTGTTTGAAATTTGATAAAGCGGTGGAGGAGAGCCTGCCTTCAATACCATTTAGCATCTTAGTAAACAACAGTGCTTGGTGGTTTGTCACTGTGCCAACCACGGTGCCACGTGCCTTCTACGCATCATGCCCCCAGTCTTGCCACTATTCTGAAAGCAATCCAAGATCTTTTTCTGTTGTGTAGCCGAATTATGTGTGTGTGTGTGTGTGTGTGTGTTTAATGTTTTTTCCAGTTTAGGTTTTTCAGAGGCTGAGGAAGGAGGCCGCTGGGTTTTGAACTCAGGGCCTTGAGCATGCTGAGCACACAGTACTACTGACCCCTCAACTCTGCAATCCCAATTTATGAGGCCTTGGCAGTAGAGACTCCTTTCTGTAACAAGCTCAGCGTTGTCTCTGTAGTTGGCTGCTTACACGGAAGTGTCTTACAATGGTTCTAATATAGTAGCCAACTTCTTATACCCTCAACAAGAAGTCATTCTGGTAGTAACTGACCTAAGTGACCACATTAACTTTGAGATAAGATCTCACTGAGTAATACAAGCTGCCCTTGAATTTACAGTCCGTCCCCCTCCCCCTCCTGCTTCAGCCTTCTGATTTCGAGAACTATAGGTGTATACCACCACACCGGCCCACAGAAACTTTAAATTTACAGTATGTGAGACACGATTCTCAATGCTTAAATCTGAGTTAATTTTCTGTACTCTTAACTGTTTTTAAAAATCTAAGTCTAATAAGTTTTAAAAAAACAAGATTCAGATTTATATGTTTGTTTCCATTATTTTTTTTTTTCTAAATGAGTGCACATTCCTTTCATTTCTCCCTGTTGGTTCCAGAGTTAGAAGCTGACTTTTCATCTATCAAATTGGCAAAGCTCCAAATGTCTTTCTTTTGGAGTGGCCAGGACCTCTTTGCCCAGTCCTGTTCCCCTCTTCTAAACATCCCTGGATGCTCAGGGGCATTTGCGTCCCTCTGCAGACAGCTCCCAGGGTCAGCCTTGTCTTACCTTAGCCAGCAGCAATGCTCCTGCGGCACAACCAGCACACAGAGCTCCCTGCAGACAGCGGCCAGCCACGTGCCCCAGTACCCTCTTCCTCCCCAGCAGAGTATAATAAGTTGTCCAGAAAATCGTGTCCAGGCTTGATGTGTTTCTTTCCGATCCTTTACCCAGGAATGAAAATCCCCACACAGGTGCAACAGGAAAGCCACCTAATGATAAAATACAGTATTAAGCTTCTGGATGCCTGCGTGTTAAGTCATTGAATGGGCAAAGTTCGGCTTTGTTACTGTTTGTTTTAAGCTTAAACTGTCTGTGAATCTGACCCTCTGGCAAGTAGGTGATCAAGAGTAGATGCTGCCACTAAGGGACAAACACACACACACACACACACACACACACACACACACACACACACAAAGATGGCAAAGGACTTCTCTACTTGGCCATCTGGAGCCTGCCAGGCATATGAGGCCGCAAGTCAGCACAGGAACTAGCCTGAACAGAATGGGCACTAGACAGTACCCTGAGCACAGCCAGGAAGTATAACCCGAGGAACCATTTTTAAATGTCGCAGGAGCTTTGTACAGGGTCACTTGCAAAGAGATTGGGACAAAACTGATTCTTTGAGTGTCACCAGGAAGGAAGAGGATCCCTGGCATTCTGGGAACCCCATGGGGCATCTCTCAGTATTGTCAAACTAATACTAAAGTGATGGAACACTGTGGACAGTGAGGCTGGGTTAAATTGGTTGGTTTCTTCTGAAAAGGAGATTCAGTCACCTCACCAGTAATGAACTGAGACAGCTGAAGTATTTCTTTTTTTTAGTTAAAATTTTATTTTTTTTATATTAATTACAGCTTATTCACTTTGTATCCCAGCTATAGCCCCCTCCCTCCTACCCTCCCAATCTCTCCCTCCTTCCCTCATTTCCTCCTGTGCCCCTCTCCAAGTCCATAGATAGGGGAGGAGGTGCCTCTTGAGGCCAAAGGGAACACAGAACTGGTAGCAGGTGACAGTCGTAAATGGCAGTTATCACCATGTGACCGGCAACTAAGTCTGTCTTCATGAGTTTTATATCTTGTTTCCTTATGACCATGTTTGTGTGTATATAATGACACCTGTGTTCCCTTCTGTTTTTCTTAATTCATTAGTTTTTTTTTGTTTGTTTGTTTGTTTGTTTTTGTTTTTTTGAGACAGGTTTTCTCTGTGTAACAGCTTTGGCTGCCCTGGAACTCATAACTCATTCTGTAGACCAGGCTGGCCTTGAACTCACAAACATGAACCTGCCTATTTCCAGAGTGCTGAGATTAAAGGCATGTGCCACAACCACCCATTATTTTTATTTCATGTGCATTGGTGCTTTGTCTGTATGTATGTCTGTATGAAAATGTCAGCTCCACCGTGCAGGGAATTGAACCTGGGTCCTCTGGAAGAGCAGCCAGTGCTCTTAACTACTGAGCCATCTCTCCAGCCCTGACGCTCTGTGTTTAAGAGTACACAATGCTCTTGTAGAGAACCAGCCTTTGGTTCCAGTACAGATGTCAGGCAACTCACAAAGGTTTATAATGCCAACTTTGGAGGATCCAACACTCTCTTTTGGCCTCCGAGAGCACCCCTACTCATGTGCACCCCACTAGCCTCCCTCCCCAGTTCAAAATAAAAAAAAAATAGAGTCAGACATGGTGGTGAACAGTTAATCCTAACTCTCAGAAGGTAGAGGCGGGCACATCTCCATGAATTGCCTGGGCTACATAGTGAGACCCTGTCTCAAAAGACCAAAGATTAAATAAATAAGAAATAAAAACCAATCCTAGAAAAAGCTGTGTTGATTTTAGTCTCCTAATAGTTACGTACTATTACCAGCTGGCCTTCTCTACAGAGTGGAAACCTGAGCAGCTGAGGGTGTGGCTCAGTGGTAGGGGGCTTACTGAGAATGTCTGTTGGTTGAGTTCAGTCTCCAGCAATGCTCAAACAAACAAACAAGTCCATTCTTGGGCTCAGTGAGAGCTGGCTCAGCAGATAAGGGCACTGGCTTGCCACCAGACATAGTAACCTGAGTTCAGTCCCTGGAATCCACATGATAAAAGGAGAAAATCAAGCTGTTTCTGACCTCAAATATGTGCATGAACTCGTACACACACACACAATAAATAAATGTTTTAAATTTCTCCCCTGTATGGACCATTTCACATTCAAACCATAATATTTGTCTTTGGGGGATACATGGGAAGGCCATTCATAGTATTGATAGCTTGATGATTTTGTAATATTATATATATATATATAGTGTATATTCTATATGTAGGAGAACCCTACTAAAAAACCCACCCAAAGTGATCTGACTTCCCAATTGGACCCTGAGACAATCTTGAAACAGATTCTTCTCTGGAATTGTCCCTCTTTCTTTTTGAGAGTGAAGGACCTTATCCTGGGGCTTGGAGGACAGGCCAAAGGTAGGAGGGTTGGCCTCAAGCCAAGCCCAGCTGTGGCAATGCTTACTTTACACCCTGTCTGTGCCCTGAAGTCTCTGCGGTCACTGCCCTCCAGCCATTCACTGCCTGTAGGAGGACGGGCACCCGGCAGCGTCCTCTGCTCTAGGACAACTTGGGCCAGGTGATGCAAGGAGATGTGACGGGGTAGGGTACCGGGATGCACAGGGAACCCTGGACCAGGAGGAAGGAAATGTAAAGACCTATTTGCAGCCAGCTACCCACCAGGCGCCATTTGAGACATAATACATGATCCATGGCCAAACACACCCTTTCTAATATGGATGGTGGGGGGCCACCTATTTTGGACGCCCCTTTGAAATATCTGAATACCAACTTGATGACATCCCTTGTCGAAAAGAGCAAGGTTGATGATCAGTAATACATTTACAAATGTTTTGGCCAACGGTACCCTTTGGTGTAGACAGCAGGAGTTCACTATGTCTAGAACCGTACTGTGGAAAAAAGAAAAAGAAAGAAAGAAAGAAAGAAAGAAAGAAAGAAAGAAAGAAAGAAAGAAAGAAAGAAAGAAAGAAAGAAAGAAAGAAAGAAAGAGAGAGAGAAAGAAAGAGAGAAAGAGAGAAAGAGAAAAAGAAAGAAAATTAGGTTTTACAACCTGTGTTGTAAAGAAAGCTGTGTGTTGTCGGTAACAGGAAGATGAAAGAGGAGGCATCCCTTCAGGTTGAGGCCAAGGATCTGGTCAATAGAAACACTGGTCACCTTAGAACTCAAATGTAGAGGTGAGGGGCTATTTTTCCTCCAACTCACAGTTTAGGTGGCTGATATAGCTCCGTGGTAAAGTACATGCCTAGCACGCACTTAAAAAGTTGTTTACATCGTGTGTGTGTGTGTGTGTGTGTGTGTGTGTGTGTGTTACCAGAGTATAACCTTCGATGGTGCTAGAATGGTGACCATGGCTGCCTTCCAGGGTACAACCTTAGGCATTGTTCCTCGGGAGCCTGTCCACCTTGTGTTTTGAGACAGAGCCTGGCCTGGAACTCACCGAGTAGGAGTTCACTGGCTGTCCAGTGAACTCCAGGGATCCTCCTGTCTTGTCTCCACCTCCCCAGTGCTGAGAAGACAATCCACTGCACCCAGCTTTCCCACACAGCTGCTGAGGACCAAACTCAGGGCATGGAAAGCACCTTACTGACTGAGCTGTCTCCCCAGACCCCACAAAGTTCACATTACATAAAAGATGACAGAGGAGGGTACTCTTGATTACAAGAGTCACCGGTCAATAACAGGTTGTCACACTTAGTTGTGTGTATGTATGTGCACGTATGTAGATATATTTACATATTATCAAACCATTTGAAAGTAGTTGCAGAAGCCGATCATGGTGGCGCATGATTCCCAGCACTTGGGAGGCAGAGGCAGGCCGATCGCTACGAATTTGAGGCTAGCCTGGTCTACTAAGGGAGTTCCAGAACAGCCAGGGCTACACAGAGAAACCCTGTCTCAAAACTCCAAACCAACAAAAAAAGAAAGTCGCTGCAGAAACCAACATCACTTTCTCAGGATTCCAGTCAATGCTCTAGACCTGCGCTTAGAAGGACCCTTCAGTTTCCTGAGTCTAGAATAAGGCCCCTGCTGGTTTCTTTTCTCATCACTGACAAAATGCCGTACAGAGGAGCTTCAGACAGGTGGGACTGGTTCTGGCACACAGTTTAGGGGATCTCGGTCCATCACGGTGGAGAAGACAAAGCGGGATAGGCATAGTGGAGTTGGTGGAGACAGGAGCATGGTGGCGGCTCCTGGTGTCTCCCTGGGTCAGGCTAGAACTAGATCAAGTTGTTAACAACACTTAAGGCTACCTCCCCAGGGATGCACTTCCTCCAGCCAGAATGCACCTCCTGGAGGTCCCACTCCTAAAACAGTGCGGTCAGCATGTGATACACATAAGTACATGCAAGCAAAACACATACACAGGCAAACACACATGTTTTGTTGTTTGGTGGTGGTGGTGGTGGTGGTGGTGTTTCCCCCAGTAACTTCGGCTGTCCTGGAACTCCCTCTGTCAACCAGGCTGGCCTCGAGCTCACATTGATCCCCCTACCTCTGCCTCCCAAGCGCTGGGATTAAAGATGTGCACCACCACCAGCTGGTAACAGGTATGTACATGTATACACACACCTACACACACACAGAGACTCCAGGTTTGACACTCAGCATCATACATACACATAAAATTTTAAACATTTGTACCAAATCATTGGCTAGGAGAAAACATTTGCAACATATATAAAAGAGCAGGGACAAAAATCCATATAAGTCAAAGATCCAGAAAAATAATCATTTGTTTGTTTGTTTGTTTGTTTGTTTCAGGACAGGGTTTCTCTTTGTAGCCTTGGCTGTCCTGAACTCACTTTGTAGACCAGGCAGACCTCAAACTCACAGAGATCCACCTGCCTCTGCCTCCCTGAGTGCTAGAAAAAGAATCTTAGTAAAAATGAGAGAAATCACAAAAAAAAAAAAGAAAGAAACATGAATGGCTAAGAAATGTAAGAAAAATAGACTCAATTACCATGATGAACCATTTTAAAAATACAAACCAACCCCCTTTTTTTTTTTCAAGCAGGTCATTGAAAATTTAAACACACCGGAGAGAAAATGAAGAGGGTCCCCCTTGCACAGCCGTCAGGAGTGAAAACTGCAGTCACCATCTAAAGGAAATTTGGCATCACACACATTCTTGTGGGCTCAAGTGGTTCCGTTCTAGGACTCCAGCCTTACAAAATGCTAATGTTT